CCCCGCCGTGCACACCGCCTCTGCCTGAGCCCCGCCGTGCACACCGCCTCTGCCTGCCGGCCCTGCCAACCCTGCCAATGTGCGGTCCACATGGACCAGAGGGTCTGAGAGAGTAAGCAGAAGCCTGTGCAAAAGACAGCAAACTTGGCAGAGCTAGGGAGATCAACACTAGGTTTGAGGCTACCAAGGCAGCCAGAATTTGAGACATTTTAACTATAGGTAGAAAAACAAGCTGGACACCAGTGGCTCACACCTGTCATCCTAGCTACTCAGGAGGTTGAGATCTGAGGATTGCAGTTCAAAGCTAGACCAGGCAGGAAAGTCTGTAAGACTCTTATCTCCAATTAACCACCAGAAAACCAGAAGTGGCGCAATGGCTCAAGTGGCAGAGCGCTTGCCTTGAGCTGAAGAACTGAGGGACAGCGCCCTGGCCCTGAGTTCAAGCCCCATGACCAACCAAAAAAAAAAAAAGAAAGAAAGAAAGAAAGAAAAGACAAGACAAGACATGAACCTGACACTAAGACTACCTTCCCTTCCATATCTCAGTAGCTTAGAGGGTGAGAAGAGGAACAGAAAAGACACAGTAAAACTCTGTTAAGACCAAGTTTCTTCAGAGGCAAAAATTATTATTAGCATGAACATTTGAGTGAAGACGCCCCCCCCCCATGAGTGTTTTTTAAGCAGAGGCTACATGAGCACTAGAAACACAAACCAGAAATCAACCAATCAAAACACCACTGAGCTGGAACCAGAGGCTGACACTTTTAATCCCCAAGGACCACGATCAGAGCCAGCCCTGGAGACAAATGCACGAGATTCTTGTCTCCAGGTAATCAGCACAACGCTGGAAAGGGAGGTGTGGCTCAAGTGTGCCCGATGTGAGTGGAAAAGCCAAAGAGAGTGCAAAAAGGAAAAACAAAAACAGACAAGTGAAACGTCATTTTCCATTCTCTAACCCAGTAGACGTTTAAAATCCCAGCGCGGCCGGTGTCAGCACAGACACGGGACAATGAGACACGCTGCTCTGCGCCCGCAGGGTTGGAAACGATACAAACACCAGGAAGGGTTGGCGTTAGCCTAAAAAGTTGAACATGCGCATGTGCAACAATCCTCCAGCTCAATCTCCAATATATGCCCTGAAAATCCTCTATGAAGAGATACACACAGAACGTTTATAGCAATATTATTCATACGAGCAAAAGACGAAGCCCCTGTTGAAATCCATCAAGAGCAGGAGGACTGAAACAACTTTGGGCAACATGGAAGGTGGCTCGGTGGTAGAGTGCTCGCCTTGCATCCATGACGCCATGGGTTCGATTCCTCAGCACCCCATGAGCAGAAAAAGCTGGAAGTGGAGCTGTGGCTCAAGTGGTAGAGTGCTAGCCTTGAGCAAAAGAAGCTCAGGAGGGCTGGGAAGGTAGCTCAGTGGTAGAGTGCTTGCCTTGTATGCATGCGGCCCTGGGTTCGATTCCTCAGCACCACATGAGCAGAAAAAGCTGGAAGTGGCGCTGTGGCTCAAGTGGTAGGGCACTCTAGCCTTGAGCTGAAGAGCTGAGGGTCAGCGCCCAGGCTGAGTTCAGCCCCACAACCACAACAACAACAAAAAACCCAAACATAATTACGTTTTCCACTTCTGAAGATGGAATAGTAACAGTAAACAGACTTACCAATCAACCTGTAACAATTAAAAAAGCAAAGCTAGCTTAGTTGGGCACCTGTGGCTCATGCCTATAATCCTAGTTACTCAGGAGGCTGAGATCTGAAGATTTCAGTTCAAAGCCAACCTACACAGGAAAGTCTATGAGATTCTTTTTTTTTTTTTTTTAAGGAGAGGTAAGCTACTTGAGATTTAGTTGTAAAGTATAAAGATGCATTTTCTGGCCTAAACTTTTTTTTATTGTTATTATAAAGGTGATATACAGAGGGGTACCTTTTTCCTCATTGCCAATTAACCACCAAAATGCTGGAAGTGGAGCTGTGGCTCAAATGATAGAGTGCTACCCTTGAGCACAGAAGTCAGTGCCAGCATCTGAATTCAAGTCCGCAAGCAAGCAAGCAAGCAAGCAAAGCAATTCAGGAACTGAGATCTGAGATTTAGGGTTTGAAATCACCTGGACTCAACAAACTCGGTTTTGTGTGAGCCACTGGCTCCTGGATTGCTTTGCTTGCTTATTTGTTTTTTTGTGTGCTGGTCCTGGGACTTGAACTCAGAGCCTAGATGTTGGCACTGGCTTTGGTGCTAAAAGTAGCACTCTATCACTTGAGACACAGCTCCACTTCCAGCATTTTGGTGGTTAATTGGAGATAAGGAAAAAATAAAATCGAAAAAGGTCAGGCTCAGTAAATGCATCCTTATACTTTACAAATAAATCTATAGAATAGATTTTATAGATAAATAGAATAAAATTGAATAAATAGAATAGACTTTATAGATAAATAGAATTATGTATTTTAACCAGAATTAACATCTTGGGAAAAATATTTTTTATTTTTAATTTATTTTTGCTACTTCATTGGAGATGAGTTTTTGTTTTGTATTTATACAAAGAATATGAATGAATACATATGCTCTCCCCAAAGACCTTACCCAGACCAAAAATTTCTAATATAAACTAAAAGCTTCACAAATTTTTAGTTTCTAGACTACAGTAAATTCTTTAATAACAAACCAAGACAATACAGAAAGCACGAACAAAAATACAGTACCTAATTTTGCCTTCAGAATCTTTACATTATCAAGTTCTTGTTTCAGCTCTGTTATGTTGAATTCCACTGGTGAAGCCAGTCCTACCCAAAGCAAAAAAAAAAAAATTAGAAGCATAACACAGAACTTCTAGTACTTTACAGCATAGTTATTTAATTAAAATCTGAAACGTCACTGCAAAATCTGATAGCTGAGAGTCTTACAGAAAAGTACCTTCATATCCCTACTATTATAACTACCATGTTCTTGCTGATTATAAGTCACATTTTCTATGAAACTTCTTGCCTTGGTAAAACCCTTACTGATGGACTAACTGTCTTTTCTTCATCACACAAGCTGACAAGCAAGGAGTCACAGACAAAAGCTCTCTTCTCCACGCCGCCCTCCTCACAGGACAGCAGTCCACACTCTCTTCACCTTCACGCCTCATGTCTACACTGCTGGGTTTGGTTTGTGTTTTCTACAAATGAGGTCCAACAGGGCACATCTTGCCATCCTGCCCTGGCACCTCCATGCACAGAGCCGGCCTGAGCCTCTGGAGCCACTCACAGGATGCACGCAGTATAGTGTTACTCCAAGTTATTCCACTTATGAACAGTCTGACTTTCCTCAATTTTTGCCCCTCTGAGTGGTATGATAAACATTAACGGGTTGCAGAGCCATGGCGTTTTCATACTATTATTTCTGTAAGACAAATTCTCAAAATTCAAACTGCTGAGTCACAAGATGTGAGCATTTACAATTTTAAGACATACTTAAAGGTTATAGTCCCAAAATGTTACCACCTGCTGTAATAACTCAAATTACTACAATAATAGCTTTCAAAGGATATTTTCAAAATCTTCCCCTGCACTGCATGTGGTAACGCGAACTTCTGGGACCTTCATGTTAGTTTGCCAGGCATCTCCCTAAACGCGAGTGGTCAGATCTTATCCCCTCCACAATCTACATGCGGATCTTCCTATTTTTCCTGCTTTCTCTGTTAGTCTGAAACAGAAGAATTAAAATTCCCCCAAAACAAGTGTGCTCTCCTTCGGATTCCTTCGCATGTGAGAGCTCCTGTTTTCATTATGGATGTATATTTAGCTACTGAAGTTTTACTTTGTTGTTGTACGGCTAAAAATAATCTAATTCTTTACAACTGACATTCTATCTTATGATGGTAAATTACTTCCGTTTTTGTTTTTTGTGCTTTGTTTCAGATCAATCTATTTTTTTTGTCTAGCAAAATATAATCATTACAGTTGTACACAGGACTTAGTTACCATTCAAAAACTCGTTTTGTAAGTACAATGCATCCTGGTTGATGCTGCCTGCTTCGCACCCGCATCTCCCAGCCTGCCCCTCCCCTAAATTTTCTTACCCTCACAGGCTACCCGTCGACTAGTGCAGCAGTGGCCACCCCTTCCTTTCATCGCTGGTCTGTGCCTTTCACCCCTGCTTTTGTCATACTAGTTTCCTGGTATTCATTTTGTTGGAGTGTGAGTTCATTTTTCTAAGGACTTACACCATTTGAATTCTCCCCAGCAAATTTCGGTTAATATATTTGTGTGCACTTGCATACGGTTCGTATGTTTTCTTGTACATTTATAAATTAGTTCTAGCTTCCACATATAAGAGAAAATATGTGTCCTTTGTCTTTGACTTCACTTAACAATTTTTTCCCAGGTTAACTCATTTCTTTGCAAATGATGCAACATCATTTTCTTAACGGTTGATTAAAATTCTACTGTATACTTTTTCTTGACCCATTGAATCTTAGGATAGGTTTAAGCTGTATCAGAATTCACTGGTGATAAGCAACTGAAATTGACTCTCCACTTAAACCCAAAAAGAAATTCGTGAGCTCCAAGGACAGCACAGAACTTCCCATCTCCACTGTCACGTTAGGAGAGGCTGCTGCACAGCAGGCTCAGCCCTCACACTGCTGGGGTCAAGACTGACAGAGTCCAGGCAGGAGGAACTTTGGTTTCTGAGTCAGGAAAAGCAGAGAACTTTTGACAAGCAGTTCCCTAGATCTTATCTAACAGGAACACGGCAAAGATTTTGGCTTCACTGGAAGAAAGAGCAAACAGCAGCTGAAACAAAATTATGCACGGTAAGCAACCCATCGATTAGCTCTGTTCTTTAATAGTCCATTTACACGGGTAAAATATAGTACTTGCACTCAGTATAACAGCTAATAGACTTGGCTTTATACCTTCCCTACTATTTGCCTTTGCGATCAGTGGGGTTTTTAAGTTTTATCTTTATCAGAACAGAGTGTACACATAGCTCAGCATCGAACACTGTTCAGACTTGTTACATGCCTGCCGCGCTCCTAATCCTGCCGACCGAGGACGGCTGCCTCCCAGTGGGTTGGTGGTCCTTGGGTTCCCTCGCCACGATGTCTCAGTTCCCAGGAATGAGCTCTGCCTGCACCTTCCCTACAGGACAGGAGGCAAAAGTGTCTGCACTTTCTAATCCTCACTCAGTCCTTTCTCCCAATAGGACACACTGGTAATTTTGGCTAGATTGATGTTCTATGTCTACACTATAATATTTCAACACAAACTCTATCCACAAGGCCAAGTATAACCCATCTTCCTTTCTTCCTCAATATTCTACCCAGCTTCCTAGAATGAGAAATTATTTTTAACTGCCTTATTTTCCTGTGCATTTATCATTAATTCAAACTCCAACTATCTCTACTTTCTCTTGGTTATATTGTGAGCTTTAGTCTCTTAAGGAAGTAGCTCCAGCTGGGTGCTGGTGGTTCACACCTGTAATCCCTAGATAATGAGAGGCTGAGATCGGAGGACTGTGGCTTGAAGCCAGAACAAGCAAAAACAGTCCCTGTGAGATTCTCATTTCCAATTAACCACTCAAAAAACAGAAGTGGAGCTGTGGCTCAAAGTAGTACAGTGCTAGCCTTGAGTAAAAGAGCTCAGGGACCATGCCCAGGCCCTGAGTCCAAGCCCCACAAACAGTAGCTCCTGCGGTCTGAGTGGTCCAGAGGCCACTGCTCTCACAGACAGCTGTTCCGCAGAGCCCTCTCCAGCTCTGCCTGCATGGCTCTCTTTCCTCACTTCGGTGGTACCTATCTCTAGCAGTTTGCTAAGAAAAGATGACTCAAAGAAAATTACTTGAAATTGAACACACATGGATACACATATGGATACCTAGATGGAATTTATCAAGTGACAATTAATTTAGGGGGTTTGAATTAGTAAGAGCGGTAGCCAATGAGTGAAAGCACCAGGTACCGAGTTCAAGTCCCAAATTTGGATGTTTCTTAAAACACACACACACACACACACCAATTTTTCAGAAACCATTTGTATTAGTTTCTTGTCACTGTGACAAGTACCTGGAGGAACTAGTTATAGGAAGATTTATTTTAGCTTGTGCTTTCAGAGGTGTTGGTCCCGGGGCAGCTGGGCGCATTACTGCAGCCTGACACAGGCAGGGCATGCTGGTCCCGGGGCAGCTGGGCGCATTACTGCAGCCTGACATAGACAGGGCATGGTGGTCCCGGGGCAGCTGGGCGCATTGCTGCAGCCTGACACAGACAGGGCATTGCTGGTCCTGGGGCAGCTAGGCACATTACTGCAGGCCTGACACAGGCAGGGCATTGCTGGTCCCGGGGCAGCTGGGCGCATTACTGCAGCCTGACATAGACAGGGCACGGTGGTCCCGGGGCAGCTGGGCGCATTGCTGCAGCCTGACATAGACAGGGCACGGTGGTCCCGGGGCAGCTGGGCGCATTGCTGCAGCCTGACATAGACAGGGCATTGCTGGTCCTGGGGCAG